TTAAAAGCCTGTGGAACATAACTTGTTAATAGAGAGAGGTTAATCAGATCTAGTATGATGTGTTGATTAGGGGAAAGACGTCTTTGAGCAGCCTTGTCGGGATGGGGTCCAGGAGACATGTTGATGATTTGGATGAAGCAATTGTTGAGGTCAACTCAGAGAGATCTATAGGGGAGAAGTAGTCCAAGTATAAATGAGGTCTTACAGATGTTTCTAAAGCCATTGTAGTAGATGGCACATCTGCGAGAGCTGTGGGAGTGGTTCGACCCATTTTTTCTCTAATAGTTGTGATTTTATTTGTAAAGAAGCTCATGAAGTCATTGCTGCTGAGATCTAAGGGAATGTTAAGCTCAACAGCACTGTGGCTCTTTGTCAGCCTGGCTACAGTGCTGAAAAGAAACCTGGGGTTGTTCTTATTTTCCTCAATCAGTGATGAATAAAATGCGGTTCTGGCACTACGAAGGACTTTTTTATATGTTATTAAACTATCTTTCCAGGCTATGAAAAACTCTTTTGACTTAGCGGAGCGCCACCTCCTTTCCAGTTTACATGATGCCATGTATCCTCTGTCTTGTGCTTTGTTTACCTATCATGTTAGTTCTATGTTACTTATGCATTACTTCACTTTTTTCTGTGAAGTTTTTATTTCCACTCGAGCTCTCTGATGCAAACTAATAATAGAGGAACTTGAACTAGAACCTCATCTTAGCTGGTCTGCTGAGCAGTGAACAGGCTCATCCTGAGAGGCTGTGCTTATCTCATTTATTTACAAGTTGAAAGCTGCTGTTGAGCTTGTTGTTTTATGGCTATGTTCTCTCATCACCCTCGTGTTTCTGTATTGCAGGGCCCAGGCTATCGCCATCGGCCAGGCATTGGTGGACGGACGGTGGCTGGACTGCGTCACTCACCATGACCAGCTGTTCAGGGATGAGTATGCTCTCTACCGCCCCCTCCAGGTGAGAACCCTTTGCTCATGAGTAAACGCTGCACACACTGGGGAACAAGCACTTTCAAATCCCCAAATAACTCAAATACAGACTTGGACTAGTTTTTTACCCTTCCATAAAAAAAAGAACTCAATTCTGTTAGAAATAAATTAAAACTGACAAAAGTAATGAGCCTCTTTCATTGTTTATTTCATATTTTATAGAAATCTGACGCTGCTCTTTATTTTTGATTCATCTGAATATTTTAAATGACAAAACCAATGATCATGGTGATCAAATCAAGAATCTTTATTGTCATTATGCATAGCACAACGAAATTTTTTCCGGCAGCTCTCGGCTTAAAAGACAGACATATTATTTACATAACACAATTGTATAAGTCAATATAAAATATGAACAAATAAAAAGGGATGTATGGGACCTAATCAGGTCAGCAGCATGTTAGCAGCAAGAGTCTAGTAACATTATAAGGTGCAGCTCAGTGCAACCTTATGATGACAGAAATGGTGAAACTCTTGCACAACCTTTAGATGCAGTCATCACAAACAAGTGATCTCTGTAGTGTAGGGGACCAAGAGGGTTAAGCTACTAGATTAGACTTATTCTCATTTATTCATCGAACCTATAGTGTTTTACTTCATTTTATTTTAACACTTAACTTCAATTTATTCACCAGCATTTGTTATACTTGCTCAGTATTATTGTGAATAAGACTGATAAGGGCGATAGGGGAGGCGACAGTGGTACAGTGGGTAGAGCAGCCGTCTCCCAACCAGAAGGTTAAGGGTTCGAATCTCGGTGCCAGCAGTCCACATGTTGAAGCGTCCCCCAATGGTTAGAACCATCGGTTGAGTTGGCGCCACAGATGGCTGCCTTGGTTCTGTACCGGAAACAAATTCCTTGTGTGTAACATACTTGGCCAATAAAGGTGATTATCCTTATTATTATTATTATCCTTATCCTTTATTAAACATATTACTTTTATTTTTATGGCTTCTGAAGGGGTGACCAAGTCAGACCTCTAGGTTCAAATACAATGGTGTCTATTGCGCAGGGGGTCAAAGAGAGAAAGGTGGGGTAGAGCATGTTTTGACCAAGAGGCACTTGCAGAGAGTATAAAAGATGCTGCAGTAGCTCTGTAAACTATTCTGCTTTGCAAACCAGGTATTGCCATTTGTCACCTTTTTGCTGTAAATCCCATGCCGTGCTTCAGACTGAAGGGACTTGTACTGGCCTAGGTCAGGTTCCACAACAGTAGCTCTCAGTGAGACTTCTGCACCTGTCTACAGGTAGTCTAGCCCACTCTTGCAGAACAAACTGAAGGCTGCCTCCTCCTCTGCTCTTGGCATAGACATTCAACAGCATTTAGATCAGGGCTCATAGAAGGCCACTTCAGAATAGTCCAGTGTTTTCTTAGCCATTCTTGGTACTTTTAGCTGTGTGTTTTGGCTCATTTTCCTATTGGAGGAGCCCTGACCTATGGCTGGTACAAAGCTCTCTGACACTGGGCAACACATTTCACTCAAGAATGTATAGATAGTCATGAGATTTCATTGTTCCCGACACCACATGCTAGACGCATCAAAGCAGCTCCAACACATAACCGAGCCTCCTCCATGTTTCACTGTAGGTATGGTGCTCTTTTCTATGATAGCTTCATTTTAGACCTGATGTGACTTGACAGAACAGTTTTGCCTCATCTGACATAAAGCATCAGGGCTTGTCAATATACATTTTTGCAAATTCCACTCTGGCTTTTTATGTTTTTCTTTCCTGGGTCTTCTTCCATTGAGTCCAGTATCCCTCAACACTGATGTACCTTGACCTTGGAGCTCAGCTTGTAGCTCTTTGGAAGTTTTTTTTGGCTCTATGTGTATATTCTTCTGTTTAATCTGAGGTTGATTTTCCTCTTCTGGCCTTGTCCAGGGAGGTTACTGCTGTCACTTGGGCCTTAAACGTCTTCATGATAGTAACTGTAGTCACAGGAACATTGAGCTGCTTGGAGATGGTCTTATAGCCTTTACCTTACCTTATTATGCTTATCAATAATTTTCTTTTTCGATTTCCTCAGACAATGCTCTTCTTTACCATCTCTGGCCAAGGTTCAGGTCGGTGCACACAATGATACAAAACAGCAGGGGGACTACTTCTATCCATTCAGATAGGCTGAAAGTCTGATTACAAGACTGAAGATGTGTGTGATACTAATTCAAGAAACAGCTAGTTTGAACTATCACTATAATCCAATTATAATCTTTTCTAGTAGGGGTGGTAATCTTTGGCAAACTCATGATTCAATTTGATTCCTATTCTTGGTGTCTGGATTCGATTCAGAACTATTTTCAGTTTCAAAAACGATTATAAATCCCAATAAAAAAAGGGCACTATATTTTGGCTCCTACTCTAGTTTACTGTGTCATACAGCTGGTTTCTGTCCTGTACCCACTGAGCTGCTATGAAGCTTAACAGATAAGTTCTGTTGTGCATTGAAACCCAAGTACTTTACATACTGCTACCCAGCAGTATGTGAGGTAAAAGTATTAGTTAGTTAGTGTTAGTTAAGTAATTTGGCATACTTCCTTTTACAAAATGTGAACAGCTACAGACAGGCCTTAAAGTTGCTGCCTGCAGTGCAACTCACTACATGTACTGAGCAGGAGGTGAAAAACTTAAGAACCTGCTTGAGTATTAACATACGTACGGTCTACATCGGTGGTCCCCAACCACCGGGCCGTGGCCCGGTACCGGTCCATGAGGCATTTGTTACCGGGCCGCACAGAAAGAATAAATAATTTATATAATTTCCATTGCATTGATTTTTAGAGTCTGGAAGATGTTTTATTATGAAAAACGACGTATCATCCTCCGACGTATCATCCACCAGGGGGCACAGGTGGTCACGTCGGTCACAACGTCACGTGATACGTTGCTAAAAAAAATAACTAGCAAAACTAACAAACTAGCAAAAATGTGTCATTGTCTCCCATCAGCCCTAGATGGGACCATCTTGGTGCAGGGAAACAAGCCCAGGGCTCCCACTGACTCTGCATTATGGTGAGTTGATATAGTGTAGAATTATTGTAATTGCCTAATATAAAGTGTAATTGTTGCATTCAGATTACATACTATGAACTGACAAAGGTTTTTGTTATTGGAACCCCCGTGCCTCTACCCGGTCCGCCGAACATTTTTCATGCATGAAACCGGTCAGTGGTACGAAAAAGGTTGGGGACCGCTGGTCTACATAGTTGTGTGTGTGTTCTACAACAAAAGCTGCGCACTGGGGGCGTGCGGTTACAATGGTTTGCTCATTTTAAATAGTAAAATCAGGTTTAAAACCCAAAAACCTTGTTTCATAGGCTCTTTCTATTTCTACATTATTTATTTCTTATGTTACCATCTATGTTCATTTCCAAAAACTATAAACTTCGTTCTACTCAAATTTATGGACAGCTTATTAATACCAGACCACTGACACAGAGCTCATTACCAAGTTACACAAATGAATTCCTTGTCTCACAACCATAGATGTACAACACAATTCCAATATGTGCACGCTGACTGTGTGCACATTGGCTTCATGGTTGAGTTCCTCCTTTTTCTTTATGTCAACGTTGTGACAGAATCGATTTTTAGCATCTGTGAATCGGTCTGGAATCGTAGAAGATATGAACTGCAATTCTAATGTGAATCAGTTTTTTTTTTCTTCCACCCCTATTTTCCAGTGGTATCACCAAATCTGTCCAGGGCATTATAGAAAATCATTGTAGAATAAGCAGTAATTGATCTTTTTTTACACTTTCTTTACTCTGTGACCCACCGAAGGCATGCAGGCATACATGAGACAGATGCGTTTCATTTCATCACTTTCAGGAGGAATGAAGTATTGTTTCAGTAGGCTGTAACAGTACCAACAAATGTTTTCACGTCTGTAACTTCAGGATGCAATCCAAATCTTTCACATTTGCTACAACATTCTTGGACACAGCACGTGCTGATATTGATTAATTCTACAGGGTCTTCTGATAACACAAGAGGACAGTAATTTTTTCGATTGATTAAAGTGAAATGTGCTGATGGTGACCCCTTTGTGTCTGACCTCTAGAGTACAGAGTTCTCAGAAACTCCATCTCCAGACAGCGACAGTGTCAACTCTGTGGAGGGGCATTCAGAACCATCCTGGTTCAAGGACATAAAGTTTGATGACAGCGACACAGAGCAGCCTGCAGATGAGACAGGTTACACCACGCCCAGTATGTGTCTCGTGTCTATGCATTTTTACACATTGTCATACAGTGTTGCCTTAAAATCCCAGCTGCAGCTCACTGACCTGTCTCTGTGTCCAGACTCTGCCACACCCAGCAAGAGGACATCCGTCAGCAGTTTCCACTCAGTGGTGGACAGCGACTCAGCTGCCTCCATCAACCTCAACATGGAGCAGAACCATGTCAACTTCCACATCAAGAAACAGTCCAAGTATCCACATGTGCCTCCTGCCACTGAGCAGAAAGGTAAATACAACATGGTCCACACATACAGTCATGGCCAAAAACATTGGCACCCCTGCATTTCTGTCAGATAATGCATCACTTCCCCCAGAAAACTGTTGCAGTCACAAATTCTTTGGTATTCTAATGTTTTTTCTTTTGTTGTCACTGGAGTAACACAAGAAAGCAAGAGAAAACAGCCAAATTTGGTACATTCCACACACAACTCCAAAAATGGGCTGGACAGAACTACTGACACCTTTTCAAAATCATCAGAAATAGTTGTATTCCAAGCATGTGATGCTCCTTTAATTTGTCATGAAACTCACCTGTAGCAACCAACAGGTGCTGGCAGTATAGAAATCACACTGGCAACCAGTTAAAATGGAGAACAGTGGACTCAACCTTTCTGCTGTGTGGACCACACTGAGCATGGAGAAAAGAAAGAAGAGCAAAGAACTGACTGAGGATTTGAGAACCACAGTAGCGGCAAAGCCTGAACAGTCTTAAGGAAAAGTCCTGCAGATAAAATGGCACTTAAGTACAAAAGTATTATCAACAAAATATGATTTAATTATGAGTATAATAAGTGCAAGGATGACTCCTGTCAGTGGATGCTATTGCTTTTTACTGATGCATAAAAAGGACATTTTAACACTAGTTGTTTGAGAGGGGGCAACTTCCAACTCATTTATATACACCTGGGTAGTTTAATATTTAAGAATGCATCATACATTAAAAACAGGTCAAAAGTGATGTGTAAAAATATTAATTGACATTGAAACTAGTGACTATAGTTGTCAAATAGTTGCCCCCGATGGTTAGAGCCATCGGTTGAGTTGGCGCTGCAGATGGCTGCCTCGGTTCTGTTCCACAAACAAATTCCTTGTGTGTAACATACTTGGCCAAATAAAGCTGATGGATGGAGACCACAGTTTTGATAAACCACAGTTTTCCTTTAATGTCGGGTGCAAACAAATCTTTATAAACTGGTTAAAATGAAATACCAGTATAGCTCCTTCAAGTCGAGACACCAGGTGGTCACAGTCAAAGCCTTGAATCCATGACTGCAACAGTCGTGACACGGATTCTTAATTGGATCGAATTCTTAAAAATCTCAATTATATTCAGCACTGTAGGTCTAACACCAAATGTACAACACTACTGTAACACACACCGTGTGATCTCGCCCTTTTAGCTGAGTTTCTGGTGTCTGAGGATGGAGGACAGAACATTGTCATAAGTGATGCCTTCATCAAGGGTAGGAACTATGCACTTCCTTATTGATTTTTCTGACAACACAATGAATTGCACAACTAGTCAAGCAAACCCGCTTCCTGACTTCATGTTGCTACAGAATCTCTGTTCAACCGTCGTGTGGAGGAAAAGGCCAAAGAGATGCTGTTTACTCCGCTGGGTTGGCACCACAGCTCCCTGGATCAGCTCCGAGAGGAGAACGGAGAGAAGGTGGCCATGGAGAGGCTGCTGTAAGTGGAGATAATACACTGTCCCTGTCCAGTATGCATATATCTCTATTCACATTAATGAGCCAGAACATTATGATCACTAAATATGCACCAATCAATTGGCTGGTGATCGGAATTGCCTGATTTTTAGCTTGATTGACTATGACCGTTGCCTGGCCAGTCACTCTGAGATATCTATTCTTGCCAGTCAGTTCACATGCACAATATTTCATGTTGTGCACACAGTTGCACAGACCAAAAGCCATATGAGTGTATGCGAGTTGTTCACACTGCGTCATCAAGCCATAAAACATTTGGTACTTTTGCTTGATCGGTGACTTAAACGTTGAACTGATTATCAGAATTGTTGTTGGCATATTTTCTCTTGATGCATAGATTCACTGATTTATTGATCATTTCAATATTCTTTCAAAAGTTGCTGAAGAACTTCTTTTGAATAGGTTTCACAATCTTATTAGCTCTACTGCAAACCAATTTGGGTTTAAAACTAGCCATGGCACTGATATGTGTATATTTGCCCTAAAGGAATTAGTCAGTAAATATAAAAGCAAAAACTCCTCTGTATTCATGTGCTTCTTAGATGCCTCTAAGGCGTTTGACCGTGTGAATCATAGGAAATTATTCCAGAAGTGCCTAAATATATAGTGAGATGTTTGTCATACTGGTATGCCCACCAGACTATGTTTGTTAGATGGGATAACTGTATATCTGCACCCTTTCAGACTTGTAATGGGGTAAGACAAGGTAGTCTGCTTTCCCCAATTTTGTTTAATTTTTACATGAATGATCTCTCTAAAGAGTTAAATATGTGCAGAACACGATGTATGGTCGGTGGTATAGTAGTGAATCATTTAATGTATGCAGACGACCATGTGATATTTAGTCCCAGCTAGTCTTCAGCAGCTCTTGAACGTGTGCTCAGTGTTTGGGGAATGTCACGATGTCAAGTATAATGCTGTCAAAAGTGTCATTATGATATGCCGCACCAAACGAGGACAGGTCCTTCATATTTCCTTCCTTTAATTTATTTGGTAATATTTTAACTGTGTGTAATGAAGTTAAATATTTGGGTCATGTCATAAATGATTGTTTGTCCGATGACGGGGATATATATCGGCAGTGCCGCATGTT